TTTTGCTGTCTTTAGACATGAAGTGTCCTTGGCCCCATGCCTATTGTCCTGAATGGTATTACCTAGGTTTTTTCATAGGGTTTTATGGTATTAGGTTCCTCAACATTTAAGTCTCTAATCGCATCTTGAGTTAAATTTTCGTATAAGGAGTAAGGAAAGGATCCAGTTCATCAGCTTTCTTTTGACTTTAATGGCTTAAGCCAATGTTTCCCAGGACCATTTATCTAAATAGGAATCCTTTCCCCATTTCTTGTTTTTCTCAGGTTTGTCAAAGATCAGATGGGCCGTAGATGTGGTGGTATTATTTCTTGAGGACTCTGTTCTGTTACATTGGTCGATTATCTCTGTTGGTACCAGTCCATGCTGTTTTGGTTACTGTTACGCCTTGTAGATATAGTTTGAAGTCGCAGGTAGGTGATGCCTTCCAGCTTTGTTCTTTTGACTTAGGATTGTTTGGCAATGGTGGGCTCTTGTTGTCTTCCCATATGAAGTTCTAAGTTAATTTTTTCCAAATTCTGTGAAGAAAGTCAATTGGTAGTTGATGGCGGATGCGACATTTGAATCTCTAATTACTTGGGCGTATGGCCATTTTCACCGCTAATTGATTCTTCCTATCCATGGCAGTATGTTCCTTCCATTTGTTTGTGTTCCTCTTTGCTTTCACTGAGGCAGTGGTTTGTTAGTTCTACCTTGAAGAGCGTCCTTTACATCCTTGTAAGTGGGATTCCTAGGTGATTTTTAGTTCTCTTGAAGCAATTGTGAATGGGAAGTTCATTCCTGATTTGGCTCTCTGGTCTGTCTGTTACTGTGGGTGTATAAGACATGTCTTGTGATATGTTGTGTGACCATTGAATTTTGCTCTCTCGCGACTTTGCTGAAGTTTGGCTTATGCAGCATTAAGGAGATTTGGGCCTGAGACAATGGGGTTTTCTAAAGATATACAATCATGTTCCATCTGCAAACAGGGACAATTTGACGTCTTTCTTTTCATAACTGAATTACCCTTGATTTCTTTCTCTTGCGTGATTGCCCTAGCCAGGAACTTCCAACACTATGTTTGAACAGGAGTGGTGAGAGAGGGCATCCCTGTCTTTGTGCGCAGTTTTCAAATGGGATTTTTCCAGGTTTCTTGCCCATTCAGTATAGATATGTGGCTGTGGGTTTGTCGATAAAATAGCCTCTTGCTGGGATTACAGGTGTGAGTCACTGCACCTGGCCTTTTTATTTATTTTTATTGTCTCACTGCACTGGTTAGAACTGTTAGGACTAGGTTGAGTTGAAAAGGTGAGAGGGGACATTCTTGCCTTGTTCCTAATTTTAGGGAGAAAGTGTTCAGTCTTCCACCATAAAGTATGATGTTTACTGTTGGTTTTTTTTTAAATAGATGTCCTTTACTAGATTGAGGAAGTACCCTTCCATTTCAAGTTTGTTAAGAGCTTTTAGCATGAATAGTGGTGGGATTTTATCAAATATGCTTTTTCTGAGTCTACTAAGATGATTGTGTGGTTTTGTGCCCTTTATTTTAATATGATGTATTACATTAATTGATTTTCAGATCTCTTTTTTTTTTTTTTTCCTTTTTCCGAGAAGGAGTCTTGCTCTGTTGCCCAGGCTGGAGTACAGTGGCATGATCTTGGCTCACTGCAACCTCCACCTCCCGGATTCAAGCAATTCTCCTGTCTCAGCCTCCCGAGTAGCTGGGACTACAGGCATACGCCACCATGCCTGGCTTATTTTTTTATTTTTAGTAGAGATGTGGTTTCACCATATTGGTCACGCTGGTCTTGAACTCCTGACCTCAGGTGATCCACCCACATCAGCCTCCCAAAGCGCTGGGGTCATAGGCATGAGCTTGGCCGATTTTTAGATCTTAAACCAACCTTGCTTTCCTAAGATAAATGCCATTTGGTTATGGTGCATAATCTTTTTGATATATTGTTTAAATCAATCCTCTAATATTTTGTTGAGGACTTTCGCATTCATAATGATGTATAACCTTGTGTTTGGCTTTGGTATCAGGGTGATACTGGCCTCATAGGAGTTGGGAAGTGTTCCATCCTTCTCTACTGTCTAGAAAAGCTTATGGAATATTGGTATCATTTCGTCTTTAAATATTTGATAAAATTCACCAGAGAAGCCAAATGGCCTGGTCTTTTTTCATTGATGGGGAGATTTTTAATTACTAATTTATTTCCTTATTATATAGATCTATTTAGATTATCTGTATCTTCTTGAGTCCATTTTGAAAATTGTAAACTTCTAGAAATGCATCAAATTTATTGGAATTTGTTTTAAAATACTCTACTCCTCCCTCCAAAAATCAGCAGGGGAAGGGTAAGATAGATAAAACTATATTTGCAAGAATGTTGGTAATTGTTGATGCTGGGTGATGATTATATGGGGATTTACTTTACTATTCTCTGTAATTTTCTATATATTTTAAATTTTCTGATAAGAGGTTTAAAAAAGTAAATTGTATTGCTATGGAATAGTAACGATTAGAAAATTCCAATTTAATCAAGATACCATTTATGATAAACTCACCTCATATGCTAGAGGAATATATATTATTCTATGTATTTTTATATAGCAATCATGTGATATGTGCCAATTATATATATACCTATATATTTTTGATATATATCACATAAAATTTATATGAAAGCAAAGCTTCAAGAATACTCAAGATATTCTTGAAAAAGAACAAAGTGTAAAAAAAAGAAATTGTGCTAGCAGATATCAAGGCTTATTATAAAGCATGATAATAAAAAACATGCTGTATACATGCAAACATAGGCAAATGATCCAGTGGAACAGAAGAGAAAGCACAGCAGATCAGTAGGAAAAGGATGGACTATTTAATAAATTGTACTGGGATGCAGAGAATAGATAGGGAGGATCAGATAGGGACATCTAGGGTAACCTACATATTCTATTTCTTAACCTAAAAACTAGATTCATAGGTTTTATTCTTTTTCTTCTTTTTGAACATTTTTATGATGAAAATATCAAAAAAGTCTCAAACGCAGAAAAAACATGAATACAACAAACACGTATAAAACTATCACTCAGATTTAACAGCTGTTAACATTTTACTGTATATGCTTCATTACAAATGAAACATTTTAAATTATAAATATCAAGATACTTAGCCATTCCACAGAGGATTTCGGTATGCATTTAAAAATAAGGCCATTTTCCCACTTCATCACAGTAACATTTTCATAGCTAACAAAATTAATGGTAATTCCTTAACTTTTTATCTTGGAATTTTCAAAACTGCAAAAGCTGAAAAAATAGTACAATGAACACCTATATACCCTGACCTAGATTCATCAATTAATATCCTGCTACATTTGATTTCTTCCCCAACTTCCAAGTATGTATGTGTGCGTGAGTGTATACACACACATGCACACATACATACACACACACTCCTTTCCCCTCCTTTTGGCTAAACCATGTTAAAGTAAGTTGCTGTGGACATCACCATGCATTTCCTAAGAATAAGGATATTCTCTTAAAGTTTACATCTTTCTACATGTATATTAATACATGTATTGTGTTTATTAATGTACATAACATATATAATACAACATACTAGTACACATTATATATTATGTATATATTATTAATGTACATTAATATTGATATACATTGATAATACACATAACACATTAATACATATATATTCATATGATATATAAATGAAACAAAAAAGTGGTAAAAAAATTAAAGAATTCTTTTATGACCTTAAAGCCATATGTAGTTGACATTCAACTACATAAAATGGAGCAAACAAAAAATTTCTGAACAGGAGAAACTACCATAAGCAAAGTCAAAAGATAACTAATTATTGAATGTGCATATGTATATAGAATATATAATCAGAGTTCATAAAAAATGAAATACAAGTAATTTTTAAAATATCAAAAGACCGCCAGGCATGGTAGCTCATGCCTATAATCCCAGCACTTTGGGAGGCTAAGATAGAGGGATTGCTTGAGGCCAGGAGTTCAAGACTAGCCTGGGCAACATAGTGAGACCTCATCTCAACAAAAAATAAAAAGTTAGCCAGACTTAGTGGCATGTGCCTATTGTCCTAGCTCTTCAAAGGCTGAGGTGAGAGGACCACTTGAGTCCAGGAGGGTGAGGCTGTAATGAGTTATTATTGTGCTACTGGACTCCAGCCTGGGTGACAGAGTGAGACCCTGTCTCAAAAAAAAGAGAAAAGATATGCAACTAATTTTTCATAAAAGGAATACAAATTAATGCTATACTGTATTACCTCAGAGTGACAAATACAAAAGTTTAGTAATACACTGTGTTAGCACAGTTTCAGTACGGTAATACACACATATTTGTGGTGGAAGTGTGAATTGACAGAAACACCATGGAGGGTAATTTGGCAATTCATAAAAATCACACATGCATATATTCTTTTGTGCTATGTGTAGTTGGTGAAACAATTCCACTTGTAGGAATCTCTTCTACAGTTATACTTGCACATATAGAAAGTTATAAAATACAAGGTTATTCCCTACTTTACTAGTAATGTTTGTAAAAATAAAAGACTACAAATAACATATATTTATCTATAAACTTTTTGGCTGGTTCAATAAATTACATTATATCCACACACACAGGCATACAAAGAATGAAGATCTTTAATTACCTATACAGAAAGAGCTCCAAGTTATATTAACTGAAAAAAAAAAATCCAAATACCAAAACAATTTCTCCCATTGGGGTTAAACAAAAGAAAGGTGAAGAGGAACATGTACATTATTTTGGCTTTATATGCCTATTATATGCATGTGAAATAGAAACCTGGATGGTAGGAGCAACAGAATAGAAGGGAGATTATTCCATACTCTTTTGTAGTTTAAAAATAATATATATTGAAATATTAAATAAAAATGACATTCAAATGATTTTCTTTGAAACAGAAAGTTAAAAGGTCATTAAATTACACATATCAAAAGAAACAGGAAACATACCTTTGTGGCTTCCATTATAATTTTGTTAATTTTCTCTTTATCTAATCCTTCCATTCCTGCTTTATTATCATTAAGTCCCATCCTAAGCAGAAGATCATCTTTGTAACTGTCACACTTCTCCTTTATGCTATCCATGGTATAAACTTATCTGAAAAAGTATAAAGATAAACACTGCTTTTAAAACCATCTGTGGCCAGATGTGGTGGCTCATGCCTGTAATCCGACCACTTTGGGAGGCCGAGGTGGGCAGACTGACTGAGCTCAGGAGTTCGAGACCAGCCTGGGTAACATGGTGGAACCCTGCCTCTACTAAAATACAAACAAAATTAGCCAGGTGTGACGGTGTGCGCCTGTACTCCCAGCTACTAGGGAGGCTGAGGCAGAAGAATTGCTTGAATCCAGGAGGCAGAGGTTGCAGTGAGCCGAGACTGCACTACTGCACTCCAGCCTGGGCGACAGAGCGAGACTCTGTCTCCAAAAAACAAACAAAAAAACAGAGAAAAACTCCAAAAAACATGTAGGGGGTAGGGGGACAGAAGCACCACATACATCCATTATGCATCAATAAAAAAGTTTTTAAAACGTTAAATGGTATAGAAATCAGCAAAACAAAATTTCTGAATGACAGTTAAGAATTTTTAGCTACTAAAAATTATTACTCAGACTTTAAAAATTACAGTTGACTCTTAGACAACACGGGTTTGAACTGAGAGGATCCACTTATATTTGAATTTCTTCCGCCTCTGCCACCCTTAAGACAGAAAGACCAACTCCATTGCTTTCTCTTCCTTAGTTTATTCAACATGAAGACAATGAGGATGAAGATCTTTATGATCTACTTCCACTTAATGAATAATAAATATATTCTGTCTCATTTATGATTTTCTTGATAACATTTTCCTTTCGGCTTTCTTTATTGTAAAAATAGAGTACAGAACAAATATAACATACAAAATACATATTAATCAACTGCATACCTTATTAGTAAGGCTTCCAGTTAACAATAGACAATTAGTAGGTACATTCTTCATGAGTCGAAAATTATATGTGAATTTTTGATTGTGCGTGGGCAGGGTCCCTAGCTCCTGTGGTGTTCAAGGGTCATCTGTATTATCACAAGATTATGATATTCTTGGAGAGAAGAAAGGAATTAGCATTTTCTGCATGCTCCATTCTAGCTACTATGCTTAGGGCACTATATGCGAGGGTCATAACAGCCCTGAAAGATAGGTACTATTCTCCATACAAAAAGATAACAAACCTGAGTCTTAGAACATGTCTATTGAGAAATTTGCTAACAAGTGGCAACACATGTGTTGGAACCCAGGCATGAGTACAAAACTTATGTTTCTACCCAGATTAAAACATGGTATAGAAATACAAAATAATACTTCCTCTACTACACATGTTAAGTTCAACTGCATTTATTATCTACTATATGCAGATCTCCTTCTTAAGGCAATGAAAAAATACAGAAAAAAAAAAAAACCTAGAAAGTTAAGTCACCTCTAAGGTTAAGAAAAATCCTTTCAAATAATAAATCTTTAATATCTTTACATACTTTATAGTTTACCTTCACATACCTTAGCTTTTAAAGATATTTACAACCATGCAAAACAGATCTGGTTATTTTCATATCAGGGAGAAAAAAATGAGAACTTCAGCAAGATTGAATGAATTGCCATCATTAACTGTTAGTAAGTGGAAGAATTGGGAGTTGAATGCAAGCCTTCTTACTTCAACTCTGATGCACTCCATGACATTACAGTTGCCTCCGATTTGGGGATCACATATACTATAAATAAGTGGCCAGGTGAACAGTTGTCATGAATCTAAAATAAATTACAATTGTGACTTATTTGCATAATTTAGAGAGGGCGCCAATTTACTCTACTCTGCCTTGAGGATCTTCCCCTAACAATGTTGCTTCTTTTTTTGGCACTGGCAAAGAATAAAAAGAATTTTGGAAGGGACTCTGAATACTGTGCCTATTAGTGGTAGTTCCACTAGGAAAAAAAGTATACATCATGGTAGTTCTCAAACTTTGCTGCACATTAGGCCCACCTGGAGAGCTGTGACGCCAACGGTCCTCCCATACCAAATAAATCAGAAGGTCTGGGAGTAGTAGCCAGATAGGAGTATTTTAAAGAGATGCCCAGGTAATTTCAATGTGTCCAAAGCATAGGAACCACTGGTACAGATGTTGTTTCGTAGTGCCCAGGGGGAATATAGGTTGGTTTTTTGTTATCATTTGAATTTTTTCCCTTCAACTATCACACTGAGCTAATATTACTGTACATTTTGCCTTACACTTCATTAATCCAATTACTTGTCAGTTTCTAGTAAAGCAGGTGAATGTAATTCAGTCACAATTTCACCATACCGTCACTACTAGAGAGTGAAATGGCTAAATGCAAACATCCTACATTTAAGCTGTCTTGCCCATATGTTTCTGGGTTTGTCATTGTTGTTATTCACATTCACTCATTCATTCATTCATTCATTTATTCATTCAGAGATGAAGTCTCACTCTGTCACCCACGCTGGAGTGCAGTGGTGTGATCTCAGCTCACTGCAACCTCCGCCTCCTAGGTTCAAGTGTTTCTCTGCCTCAGCCTCCCAAGAAGCTTGAACTACAGGCGCACACCACCACGCCTGGTTAATTTTTGTATTTTTAGTAAAGATGGGGTTTCGTCATGTTAGCCAGGCTGGTCTCGAACTACTCAAGTGATCCGTCTGCCCCAGTCTCCCAAAGAGCTGGGATTACAGGCCTGAGCCACTGCACCTGGCTGTTGTTTTTTAGAGACAGGGGTGGGTTGCCCAGGCTGGACTTGAATTCCTGGGCTCAAGAGATCCTCTCTCATCAGCCTCCCAAATAGCTGAGACTGAAGGCACATGCCACAACTCCTGGCTGCCTTGCCCTTTAAATGATGAAATGTATAAATGGAAAAGAAATATTATTGAATGCCTACTCTTTACATATGATATATTAATTGCTTAGCCAAAAAACTCTTGAGGAGAGACTGGGTGCAGCATCTCATGACTGTAATCTTAGCATTTTGTGAGGCCAAGGCAGGAGGACTGGTTAAGCCCAGGAGTTCAACACCAGCCCTGGTAACACAGTGAGACTCCATGTCTACAAAAATAAAAGTAAAAAATTAGCCAGGTGTAGTGATGTGCACCTGTAGTCCAAGCTACTTGGAAGGCTGAGTTTGGAGTTTCACTTGAGCATGGGAGGTCAAGGCTACAGTAAGCCATGGTCATGCCACTGCACTTCAGCCAGGGCAACAGAGCAGGAAACTGCCTCAAGAAAACCAAACCGAACAAACAAACAAAAAAAAACCTCTAAGAATTGGTTTTGGTGCTTGAGTCAAAAGAACTGGACTATGGGCAATCCTGGGACAAGGCAAAATTGTGAGATAGGTAGAGTTAGTTTTTTGCTACCTTCCTGCTTATTGATACCTAATTATCATGAAACTTTTGTCCAGTTTCATAGGCATATGTTGACTATCATCCACATGCCAATGACTTACAGGTTTATAGCACCAGTCCAAATACCTGTTTGACATTTCAAGTTTAACATGTCCAAAAGTAATCTTTTCATCTGCCTCCATCCCCTCCAACCAGCTCCATTTACAGCCTTCCTGGTATCCACTGAGGGCAACTCTAATCTATTCCAGTTGCTCATGTAAATAACCCAGGAGTCATCCTTGACCCCTCTCTTTCTCATACACCCACATCCAAACTATCAGGAAATCCTGTGAGCTCTGCTTTCAAAATCACCCTGAATTTATTCAGGTTACTAGTTAAAAATATAAGGCACAGCTGGGAGCAGTGACTCATGCCTGTAATCCCAGCACTTTGGGAGGCCGAGGTGGGTGGATCACCTGAAGTCAGGAGTTTGAGACCAGCCTGGCCAACATGGTGAAACCCTCTCTACTAAAAATACAAAATTAGCTGGGTATGGTGGCACATGCCTGTAGTCCCATCTACTCAGGAGGCTGAGACAGGAGAATTGCTTGAACCCGGGAGGCAGAGGCTTCTGTGGGCCGAGACTACACCACTGCACTCCAGCCTGGGCCAGACAGAGCAAGACTCCATCTCAAAAATAAATAAATAAATACATATGTAAATAAACAAACAAATAAGGTTGGGCGTGGTGGCTCACGCCTGTAATCCCAGCACTTTGGGAGGCCGAGGTGGGTGGATCACCTGAGGTCAGGAGTTCAAGACCAGCCTGGCCAACATAGAGAAACCCCACGTCTACTAAAAATACAAACATTAGCTGGGTGTGGTGGTGCACACCTGTAGTCCCAGCTACTAGGTAGGCTGAGGCAGGAGAATCCCTGGAGCCTGGGAGGCAGAGGTTGCAGTGAACTGAGATCATGCCACTGTACTCCAGCCTGGGCCACAGAGTGAGACTCTCTCTCTCAAAAAAAAAAAAAAGGAATGAAACAAAGAAGAACAAGGTCAGGGGTTCGAGACCAGCCTGGCCAATATGGTGAATCCCTATCTTTACTAAAAACATAAAAATTAGCTGGGCGCAGTGGCAGGTACCTGTAATCCCAGCTACTTGGGAGGCTGAGGGAGGAGAAGTGCTTGAAACCAGGAAGCGGCAGTTGCAGTGAGCCAGGTTGCAGTGAGCCAAGATCACATCACTGCACTGTAGCCTGGGCAACAGAGTAAGACTCTGTCTCAAAAAAAAAAAAAAAATACAACACAAAGGCAAACTTTTGCTTTTCATAGTAATAAAGATGGAAACTTAGAATTTTTAAGAAGGAATTCTAAGGAAAAAGTTTTAGTGTGGTAGGGTTCCTTCCCACCTGTAAGAGGTAAACGAAGCTATATAAAAAATATCACACTGTGATCAAAGTCATCTGGAATTAATCTACCAGAAAATATGCAAAATATACCAAAAGTAGTAAGAGAGAAGGGGAGGAGAAAGGCGACGGGGGAAAGGGAGGTGGGGGAGAGAGAGAGAGAGAGAGAAACAGAGAGAGAGAGAGAGAGAGAGGAATGTGGAAAGCTAAACTAGAGTAAGTTCCTAGGTGGAGCTTGTTTCCTATTTCTAATATACTGTAAATAACCAAATGTAATAATTTCCTCAGAAAACCTTTATATACCTTAAGGACATATACTATTTTAAAT